ATAGACTGGACATCTCCAGCGCCTTTGTATTGCAAAATAGGCAGAGAAAAGACTACCAAAGCAAAGAAGAAAGACAGAATAGTGCACGTTTCTACTCCATTTCCGGAATCCTAGAATTTCTCTGCGGCTCCGCTGGATGTCTGTAGTAGACAACTTTGGGCGGTTGCATGCGCGCCCAAACGACAGCAGCAATGCCCAAGACGGCAAATAGCACATTGCCGGCTATTTGCCAGTCTATTTTTGTGGATATKTCCTCCACTTCGTCCTCTATTTCTTCCACGTCTATTTTCTCGAACGAATCTTCTTCCTGCTCCATTTTGGCTAGCAATTCCTCCTTTGCGTCTCGGAGTTCTTCTCTAGCTTTTTGGAGATCGTCCAACACTATAGCAAAAGAATCCTGCACTTCCAGGGAATGTTTCTGCAGGTCTGTAGTTGGTGGCTTCTCGGGTATTGCAACCTCTACGCCATTTTCTCGCTCTATCCTGCGTATTTTGGGAATACCCATACCATACTTCTTGGCTACCTTTTGTAGCCCCATACCATTCTTTCGGTCTTCCAAAAGGTCTGCGATCTCCTCTTCGGATAGTATCTTTGGCGTGGCCATATATGTAGGTAGATACGGAACATACCCTATGTTTGTCCATGGAATACCCTATGGTAGATACCTGTTTGTCCACAGATATAGCATGTATCTGTACATAGCCATAGGCATAGCTGGATACATGCTAGGAAAACAGCGCACGATAGAAATCCTTTTGGATGTGGTAGGTGGCTTGTACAGAGCGCAGGAGACAATAGGCAACATTCGAATTCCGGGCTACGTAGCTGCACCATTGCGCGTGGCCCTACAAAGAAGGTAGAAGGGGCCTCCATTCTCTTCGGGCAAACTATTCCAAAGAGTGTCTTAGAATGTTAACAATTAAGGTTAAATCTTTGTTAAGGATACCTGGAAACTATTCCAAAGAGTGTCTTAGAATGTTGACAATTAAGGTTAAATCTTTGTTAAGACACTTTGAAATAGTTTCCATATATACTTAACAAAGATTTAACCTTAATTGTTAACATTCTGAGACACTCTTTGGAATAGTTTCCATATATACTTAACAAAGATTTAACCTTAATTGTTAACATTCTGAGACACTCTTTTGGGGGACACATCTTTTGGAACATGGATCTGCATCTTTTGGGACACAAAAAAAGGTAGCCGAAAGTGGTTGCCGGGAAAATGGGATTCTGTACACTCTACTATCTTAGCCTCCATTTACATCCTTAACAATATAACAACCTTATACTTAACATTCTAAGACACTCTTTGAAATAGTTTCCACACATACTTAACAAAGATTTAACCTTAACATTCTACGGGGGATATCCGGATCGACACCTTTTGGGACGCGAGAAAAGGTAG